CTCTTTCCCTCTCTCTCCCTCACCCCCTCTCTCTCTCTCACTCTCTCTCTCATTGATATCAGTCATCTATGTTAGCAAAGTGTACATTCTAATTTAAAGCTCCTGCATACGTGCCTGATGAAGTTTTGAAGGAACGGTGCGTCACTCCTTGCGCCAGGTGTGTCTAAGGCGCTGTCCTGACGGCTGTATCTCCCAGGTATGTTCGCTCGGTCGAACGCGACAGAGTCAAGGGTCAACGCTTTTGTGTTCTTTGTTTTCCTTCCGAAGGCAGCCATCTTGGAAGTGAAGTCAAGCACAGTGCCTTGTTCGAATTATGACGTACTGTAAACAAAGGATATAGAACATAAACAATTTAGCAAACCATGGAGCGTGTACGGTTTATCAGTAGGGTAGATATTTGACTTGACTTACAGAGCGTTGTTTTGAGGTGAGTGTTACCGTATTGCGTCGTAAACTGTGTAGAGTTCAAACGTTCAAGGTTGAAAGCTTGTTGGCAAAACAGAAGAGCAACTTATCACTTCGACATTGTACCACACTCGCCCTTTGAAACATGTCCTTAAGATTTTGTACATGCCGTGCAATTGTCTGTGGTCCCTACAGTTGACTGAGCAAAAGAACTCAAAACTTAGTGAACTAAATAACCAAATTCATTGACAGTATACACTCTTTATTTTAAAAAAAAAATGATATTTGATATTGTCATTTTATACACTAGCCACCCACTCACACCCTGTGTTTGTCGACTATTGTACTGTTACCCCCTCCCTTTAATCGAAAGGAACCATTCTTCTATGTACTTTTAAATTAAATGGTCCTGTCGACATGTCGTTTCACTGTCCCTTCGTTCATTCTGAGTTTTACAAAGATCCCAGAGTATTGTTAAGGATCTGCTTTGATACGTGGCCAGTAAATTGTCCAAACTAATGGTGACTCACAAACCGGTTTGTACCAGATCGATTGAAGGACCGTTCGCCAACGCTTTTCACTGAATGTCTAGTTTCACTTGGTGGGCCATTATATATGACGTACGCCCCCACAACAGCATTTGTCATGGCGAAAAGAATGCAGCAAGTAAAAGAAAGGTGTGCTTATCAATTAATCTCCAAGCAGATCCTAGGGTGGCAAAAGACAGTATCAAATCGGCCAGTCAAATCAATTGGCCAGAGAGGGTCCGATACGTCAACCAAGCCTGGCCAATTTGATACTGCCTTTAGCCACCCTAGGATCTGCTTGGAGATTACTTTAACAAATTACAATTTGAGCAATGAGTTACCGGAAACGAACCATAGTTTTCCACTTATGACACACCTTCAACTTGGCACACCCGTAAACTATATCGTCAAACTCTTTACCAGGCTTTTTAAATCTTCCCCTTTTACACGTACACGTAGTCAAGTGTTAATCACGATTCTTACTGTATTAGTCACGATGTCTTTGAGTTATACTGAGCACGTGCGCTAGTGGCTGTCTCGAGGTCCTTGGGGCACGTTATAATATGTTTATATAATACGTACCGCTTGTACGGTACACAGAAATGGCATGAGGCTTAATCGTACAACTTCAATTTACATAATCGTTCCAAATACCCCTGGGGACATGTTCCTAGTCTGAACAGGCCTATGTTTATTGAAAAAGCGGTTGCTCCAGTTCCCCTACCTGATTTTTGTTTCGCGCATATATAATTAAATGTCCCAGACTGAGGGGTGAGAAACCTTACCTTCTGTGGGAATCTGTGTTGGACTTAAAGACTGTTTAAGGTATTTTTATTAAGTCAAGTTACCCGATATGCTTACGTTAAAACATAACAAGAGCACGGTAAGTAGGATGCACATTACACTACGACTAAAACCCTAACACATTATACCCTGTGGCAATCTACATAGACTAGAAGAATGGCTATAACCTGGTGGTCTACATACACCTTAGACATTTCGATGAGGTTAAAACTGCTTACCTGGATATCCAAATGGAAACCGGATGCTAGTAGAAGGCAGGCACTTGTTGGAAAGGTGGAAATTCCTGTAGGTTACAGGTGCAGAGTGTTCCGTGTGTAGATATCGGTGGAACGCAGCTGTGGAACTGGAACATTCACACGCGAATAGCCGTCTGTGTCTCCCGCTGTGTGGGCATGTATTTAAGTTCGAAGGTCATCGACACCGGAAATGAAACTCGGCGGAAGTGCGTCACAGGCGACGATACAGGTGCACACCGGTAGAAAGCACAATGCACCAGTAGTGACCAGCTCCACGTATTTCTGCGAACACCCCTCTAGAACTAACGTACCATGGACGGAACCTCACAGGACGTCTTAGAATATGTCTAGTTTCGGATAGGATGTATGTTTCCTTTATATTCACCTGACAACTTGTTCAGTAGCCTTTACAATAAATTACATATTGTCGGACGCCTTATTCAAACATCAGTGCCTGGCAAATTTGCTTAGGTGACCGACTGTCACGCCTAGGGCCTGTTATACCGGCTATACTGATACAGATATAGATAAAGACTGGACCTCGACCCAGATATTCTCATCACGTCTTCTTTACGAGCCGTGATTCGATGTGATGAATGGACGGTGACATGTGCAGTGCCCCTCGGGTCATCACATGTACGTGCAACACTCCACACAAGGTCTTCCGCGGATCGTCCCGACTTCCAGGATGTTTATATTTGCCCCACTTATCCGAAATGTGGGTAAGACGTACAGAGAGCCAGACTACACGATGGCTGAGTGATAAGTTAGTTGAAGCTACATGGCGCAAACAATGTTCTAATATGGCTGTTGTAGCTGGTGTGTTATATATATAGCTGGTGTGTTACGCCGAGGGGCGGTTATACCGGCTATACAGATACAGAAGCTGGTGTGTTACGCCGAAGGGCGGTTATACCGGCTATACAAAATACAGCTACAGAATATCATTTCATATCCCGTCTGTACAACTCTTCAATAACATTATCCAATCTGTTCTCAAATCTGATGTAATATTCCGCTACAGATTCTTCCGCAATATCTGGGACCGTCTGTACTCATAGACATGTTTTTAACTATTGTTATGTGTATTTTAATCTGTATGTTTTTATATGGGCGAATGATGCCTGAAATAAAGAATAAAGAAAAAGATTCTAAGCGCCTATGTTGCTATATATGCAAAATTCCCAAACTCAAACTGGGATAAATTGTAGTATAGTACAGCAACAATTTTTATTGACACAACGAAAATACAGCGACTTTCGTAATGTCTACTACAAGTATACATACAAACAAGTATATACAAATAAATTAACCTACGTACAAGTATATGAATAAATCAACATGTTCAGTTTGACATATCATTCTTTGACATATTTACTATTTGTACACTCGCATGCATTCAAGACCATCGAAACGTTCATGGTGGGTGTCCAGTACACATGCTTAATCTTCCTTACCATTTCTTCAAATCCCTAGGTTTTCCGGAAGCCCTCTTCCCCACCATTTGAACGTTATCCTTGGCTAGACACAGTGCCAGGAACTCAGACATATGGTTATCTTAGTACGTCACATATCACCTAACAGTTGTCTCATGAGTATTGCGAAACCCTGCTTGTGTAATGTTGAAAAGCACATCTAAAAGCTCATCTAAGAAGTAACAGCTTTTAAGGGCCCGGATATGTGACTGCATCCGTGGGAAACCGTTGTTCTGTTGACCTCTATGTTTAAACACTTGCCAATCCCTGTAAGACATTTGTATCTTGGGACGTAACACTGTTAGTATTTGCCAGAAGACTGTGGCACAACGCCAAATGTACATACTCACTCCGTCATGCCAGTGTTCTTTCAACTCTGTCAATTATGACTTTTCGCTTTATACTTCATGCCCCTACCCGTCCGTTTCATCAATTTTCCAGATGACAATTTCATCCTCTTACAACCATCTATTTCATCGATTGGTCATATAGGTTTATACGACTTTTGTGTCCTTTTCCTGTTGCTATAGTAATTTCCGAGCCTCCTTTAATAGCAAGCTCTACGACTTTTTCATAAGCCTTATATCCCGTAAATAGATCCTGTAGATATATATAGAGAGAGACGTAGCACAGGTAACACTTGCTTCTTCTATACCTGTACCTAAGTTATCTAACTTAATGTATTTGGCCCATGTACATGTAGGGCGTGAATATGCGATTAAGTTCATTGTCATTGTCATTATAATGCTTTTTTTCTAGCATATCAGTTTTATATGTATTTGTACCGGGTCTCTTTTGCCGCCCAGCGTACAGTAGTAGCCTGTATCATCAGCCAGTGTTGCATCATGTGGGGTCGTGCGGCGCAACGGCAGAGCATTCGGCTCAGAACCAAGTGGTCCTGGGTTCGAATCCTGCAAAGTCACCAACCTTGTGCCCTTGGGAAAGGCACTTTACAGGACTTTCTTCACTTCACCCAGGTGAAAATGAGTATGCTAGAATGATCATCGTCATGACGATGGCCATTAAAAAGAAAACCAAAACCATCTCAGTGATAAAAGTTCCCAAAGATTATAACGTTCCCTTCTCATAGAAAAGATTGACACTTGTGGTGCGCTAACTGCCCTAACATCATGACAAATCAGTATTTAGGCGGAACCGGGCCTTGTGATTATGTATTAACACTTCCGTAGTACCAGAGGTCACAGGAAGATGCTTTCCGGTGTGTTTTGGGAGGTCCTCCTTTCTTTTTCTTCTCCTATCTGCTTCCTGTTACCATACGTCACGACATGACGTCATGTCAGTGCTACAATTCTATAACTGTTTGCTCGAGTCCATGCCCCACCCCATCTCTCATCAATTTTATCCTCTTCAAACAGTTAATTGTGTGCATTTGTCGACTTACTTGTGTGATTTTCCAGTTTATATCAAATAGTATTAGCCTAGTCATGTAGCAGGCTCCAAGACTGGGCTTTTCGGGGAGCCTTTTTTTCTGGCATATCACTTCTACATGTATTGTTTGTACCGGGTTTCTTTTGCCGCCTTTTTCAGCGTATTATGATAGCTTCAATGGGATTGAGATGTTCAAAAACTCATTCTTTCCTAGAACTATCGCAGAGTGGAACTCGCTGTCACCAAGTACAGTAGGGACATTATCATTAGATAGCTTTGACAATGTTAAGAGTTAGATGTTCAAAGGTTACATGTAACAAGTCCTCCGGTGTAATGTAGCCAGCTGCCGCCGAGCCGCGTGCCTGCGAAGCTGGTGAGTTTCTTGAAAATTCCGAAGTTGTAAATGTTTGTAATAAATGATTGCAGAAAACATTAGGGTTACTAAGATTGATGTAGTTCATATCCAGACCACTAGGGGGCGACGCGACAATGGCAATGAGAACCGCTGCTGTATGCAAAAGCATGCTCAGGTACAGTTCTGGATAGTCCACGAGTATCCAGAACCTGGGTTCTGAGCCAAATCTACGTTCGTGTATAGGCGGACACTATTCGTAACCATAACCCTAAGCCATTCAAGAACTAGATAGGCGCGGTTCTGGATACTAAGTACTGGTACGTATATTCCCCAAATGTTACACCACAGAAATACTCAGATCGACAGATGTCCAACTTGTCCATTCGGCTATCATCGCTACCATCACTACCATCATTACCCTAATATGAAGCTAACGCGAAACTAGTGATAAACAGAAAGCTTTTAATGTCGACAATATACCGCAATTGTACGTTTGGACAACCAAACTACACTGCCACATGCCACATCACCAGCATAGTGTATTTTTGTAAAACTAACCAGCATTCAGCACACAGTGCTAGATTATCTTACGAAACAAAATATAAGACGCCAAATGCCACTCCTTGAGTATTAGAAAATGTCATCGATATCAGATATTAGCAAAGTGCACATCCAAATGACTCTCTCGTATTAAATACTCTGCATACATACTAAAACTTCTGCTGCATTCCAAAAGGAAAACACAATGTCAAGTCTATAATACAAAGATGTTGAACAATAGAAGTCCATAATATACATAAGTTGATACATCTATAGTAGTCAATATGTGTAATATACAGAGGTTGGATGATAAAAATCGCGTTGACTATACTGTCAACTGTGATACAAAATATATACATCAGATAGCTCCAGATAATACTTTCATAATGATATCTTGATTCCATTTATGCGTGTTAAGTATCACTAGTGAATGCTTTGTAACATATTTGAAGAAAATGTTTACATACAGACGTTTCTCAATACCCAAAAATCCACACAGTGTCGAAAGCTATGTACACTCTTATATATCCTTTGTCAGGTACGAATTCAACTAAGTTTGGTCTTGGTCCAGATCACTGCTGCTTACGTTTGTTGACAAATAGTTGTTATGTTTACCTTCGCAGAAGGAAAACATATTGTTTTTGCTCAGCCTCCTCCACTTCTCCAAACAAATAAGGTCAATGACCTGGACCAGACGTCTGTCACCATAACTACTACTGTAGTAGTGTTGGGTTACATTATGTAGCAGGACAGAGTTGGAGGGGCTGCTCACCATGTATGTGAATGTGTTTGTCAATGAGTAAAAATAATAAACGGAGCAGTAGTTTGTTAGGCTAGACCATGTGAAGGTAAACAGCATGCATCTGCTTTGCAAATGTTACTTTTCTAGTTATGTTTACCGAAGGAAAACATATTGTTTTTACTACGTTTCTTCTTCTTCTTCTCCAAACAGCTGACCTGACTGAATCATGGTAACTTGTGTTGGGTTGCATAATGCTGCAATTTTCTACTAGGAGGGATTTAGACTCCTGTAACCATATATGTGAATGTGTTTGAGTAAGAATTAACAGAGCAGCCCATATGCGAACTTCAAGGTAAACATTATGCATCTGCTTTGCAAATGTTACTATTCTACTTCATACGTCGCTTTCGCGAGCAGCTGCAAAGCTGAAGACGTTCACAGAGCATTCTCTGCTCACAGGTGGGGAATGCAGACCCGATAAGATGGCACAATGACAAGGCCCTTTGCACACACACGTTGTACCGCACACGTTGCCCTCTGGCAGGAAGGCGTCGGCCAGGTAGCTGTTGACGAACATGCCGGTCGGATCGTGTTTCAGACGCTCGTCCACGAAGTCGTTGAACTTCGGGAAGCATCGGCCGCGCTGTCGTGCCGACATATAGGTCTGCTTGCCCCAATGAGGGCGGCCGCCGTACTTGTCAATCAGAATGTCTGTATCAAGAAAAACACCAAATATATCATTACAACACATAAAAATATGTACTGGAATATTTATGTTTACCGAAGAAAACATACTGTTTTTGCTCTGTTCACTTTTCTTCTTCTTCTCCAAACCAATAACCTGAACCAGACGTCTGTCACCATGGTAACTAATATTGGATTACATCATGTTGCAATTTTATAGTAGGAAGGATTTAGCCAAAGGCTTACAAGGGAAAGCTAAAAAGGCTTACAATCAGGCTACAAATGTGGTGCCAAAACGTTTGGTACCACATTAATATTGGTCTCAAATAAGTTTCTGAGTTTCAATTTCAAAACATAGTAACAAAACGTACTTTGTGTGAGGAGGAAGAACCTCCTGTACGCCGTGCCCTCGTCATACGCGTTCAGAGAAATCCACATGAAGTCTGGACGCCACTCCTCTCCTTTCGGCTTCTCTGGTAGCCTAACGGGATCAAAACACAGAATGTTTAAACTTTAAAACTTTCTCGAGAGTTAAAACGTTCTTGAACGTACAACTACACTTTCATAACACATAACATCATTTCAGGCTGTAGTCGTTTCTCATAGTCATACCAACATTGGCACGCATATCGCGGCCTCATTGTTAGTATCTGGTGCAGTATGGCTTTTGTACAAGGCATATTTGGGTGAGGTTTTCTATGTGTGTTGTATTCTGAAAAAACTTTATCATGTCTTTATTGAAGCAAATCACCCTTTCTTCCTCCATTCTCCACCTCTTAGGTGGAAGTTCCATGCTGAGAGCTTCTTTCCAAGAACAACATCACTTTGGAATAATCTACCTCGTGATTGCTTCCCCTATGAGTATAACCTTAAACTCTTCAAGTCTAAGGTCAACAAACATCTGTCCTCACTGGCTGTTCTGTAACCCAAAACATAAACCCAAAATATTCAATTTTCTATGTTGTCACCAGTTTTGATGTACTTACTTGGGCAGGTACAGCGGACTGAGGTAGCTGGACTCTCCACGTGAGAAGCGAACCTCGATAATCTGGTTACACATGTACGGCTCCTGCCACTTTCTCGCCTCTTCGATCAGGTCTTTGATCTGTAGTTTTAGAAAAAAGTAACCTTTGTTATTGTGTGTTAATGAAGGTTAGACATCCAGAAAATGACATCTTGAATGAGACACACAAGAAAACTGTTACCCCAGTTTTCACCCCCTCTCCAGGAAAACTTTAGGAATGAAAAAAAAACAGTAGTGGCCAAACACATGCACAGCTTCCCTTCCACTTGTGCTTCGTTATTACAATAAATACTAAAGTATTATCAGATAAAATCCATGTAAAATTTGTTTTTCTTTGTTTGTTTGTTTGTTTGTTTGTTTGTTTGTTTATTTATATGAATTCGCCACAAGAAGCACAAGTGGACAGGAGGGCAAAGCAGGTGTATAAACACCTTTGCAAGTTGCCATCCAAACTATTTGTTTGTTGTGTTTACCGAAGGAAGACATATTCTCTTTGCTACGTTTCTTCTTCTTCTTCTTCTCCAAATAGTGACCTCTGACTTGATTGAAGCAGATGTCTGTCACCATGGTAACTGGTGTTGGGTTACATAATGTTGCAATTTTATAGTAGGAGGGATTTAGACCATGTCACCATATATGTGAATGTGTTTGAGTAAGAATAAACAAGGTAACATTTGCAAGGCAAATGCATAATGTTTACCTTCGCATATGGTTTACTGTGTTAATTCTTACTCAAACACATTCAAATGTATGGTGACAGCAGTCTAAATCCCTCCTGCTATGAAATTGCAATATGATGTAACCCAACACTAGTTACCATGGCAACAGACACAACATTGGTTCAGGTTAGAGGTCACTGTTTGGAGAAGAAGAAGAAGAAGAAACTGAGCAAAAACAATATGTTTTCCTTCGGTAAACATAATAAACAGAGCAGACCATATGCAAAGGTAATTTGTCTGTTTGTTTGTTTGTTTGTTTGTTTGTTTGTTTATTTACCTCTTGGAACGCCTCCCGGCATCTCTCGTACGGGATGGCAATCTCGATCTCCGAGAACCTCTCCAGCCGGACGTTCCCAGACTGCACCAGGGAGGTGGGACCGGAAATGGGCGTGGCGTCCAGAAACAACGTCTGGAACTTCATCGTCAGGGGCTGGGGGGGGGGGGGGGGGAGAAAAATGGATTATGAATTATGTTGTGAACACTTAGCCTCTACCAGGCTCCTGGAGGCGACTGGAAAGGGTTGAAATTGGCCAAGTAGAGACCTAACATGCCGAGGGAGTTGGCCTGCTCGAGAGTGCAACTTAGACCAAGACCATAGCCTGTTCAGAAGAAAGGATACAAAAACTGGAAGTTCTGCTGCAGTACCAAGGTCAGCCACCAGGAGGCCCATATTTGACATTGACCTTTGCCTTTCTACGACCTACGAACTTACCAAATATCATCATAATCTATAAGGGCGTTCTGAAGTTAAGCTGACTACAAATGTCACACACACACACACATAGACACATAAAAAACAATACGTCTATTTTTCATGGAGGTAATAATCGCTCACCGCTCAATCTGAGTCATGGGCTATGAATGCTGCCCAGAGCAAGAAACTAGATGGTACATATACAAGAATGTTAAGAACAGTGTATAATGTTTCATGGAGACAACATCTAACAAACAAACAACTCTATGGCTCTCTCCCGCCCATTTCATCTGTAGTCCGACGACGTAGACTCGCCCTGGCAGGGCATGTTGTTCGTAGTAACGAACCAGCTGGTAGATTAGTACAGTCGCTTCCTACTGGGAGACGTAGAGTGGGACGTCCTTATATTACACTTTTGTCCATGTTAGAGAGAGACACTGGTCTCGCAGGGACTGCATTAGTGTCCGCTATGAGAGACAGGACATACTGGAGTAACTTTATCAAGTGTACCTCACCGGATTAGTATAAACTAATCCGGAGGCATGAAGATGAAGAATAACCGCTCACCGTGAGACTAGTGAAGTAGTTGGCGACCCTGTGGACCGTCAGGAGGATGAAGTTCTCCACGTACCACGTCATGAAGGTGCTGAACTTGTTCGGCTCCACACAGTCATCGTTTGGGTCGTCGTTTTCTTTACACCGACATCTGTCAGAACGAAAAGAACCGTGATGTACCGTGGCCGACAAGTACAAAATTTTACACTGCAACTTTGGGTGTTTTACACCGCAACTTTTGGTGTTTTACACTGCAACTTTTTCTGTGTTTTACACTGCAACTTTTGCTGTGTTTTACACTGCAACTTTTGCTGTGTTTTACAATGCAACTTTTGGTGTTTTACACTGCAACTTTTGGTGTTTTACACTGCAACTTTTGCTGTGTTTTATACTGCAACTTTTGCTGTGTGGAAAACTTACACCCCTCCCCTTTTATAATGGACGGTCCCCCTGTCAGGTAAAAGGTGACAACGATGGCATGCAAACTACGTCCTCGTAAAAATTAAAGTTTAAATCAGAGTGTGCAGGTATATTATCCATATTCTTCAATCTACTGCTTATCCTTGTAACCAGTGCAAAGTGCTGACTTACTAAAGGATAAAGTCATTGGTTGATCCAAAGTAAAATAACTTTAACTTAATAAGTAGTACGACTTCTTTGATTTGTTGTGACGCATGGCAGCAAAAAGCAACATAATTTGTAATCACTGGACCTGGTCGAAACATTTTTAAATTTATCCCGATCTATAGGCCAAAGCTAGAAAAACCTTTAAGAAAAAACTAACGTCACAACGTAGCCAAGCTTTTCCTCTAAAAAACTTATGCACGAAAAGGATAACTCAGTCGACGTAGTTTGCATGCCATCGTTGTCACCTTTGACCTGACAGGGGGACCGTCCATTATAAAAGGGGAGGGGTGTAAGTTTTCCACACAGCAAAAGTTGCAGTGTAAAACACCAAAAGTTGCAGTGTAAAACACAGCAAAAGTTGCAGTGTAAAACACGCAAAAGTTGCAGTGTAAAACACCAAAAGTTGCAGTGTAAAACACAGCAAAAGTTGCAGTGTAAAACACAGCAAAAGTTGCAGTGTAAAACACAGCAAAAGTTGCAGTGTAAAACACACAAAGTTGCAGTGTAAAACACACAAAGTTGCAGTGTAAAACACCCAAAGTTGCAGTGTAAAACACCAAAAGTTGCGGTGTAAAACACCAAAAGTTGCGGTGTAAAATTTTGTTCTTGTCGGCCACGGTAGTGATGATTTCCATCTTTATGTCATCTGTGGTAGCATGTAAAACACTATACAAATCCACAATTGCTTACAAGATCCCCAAATAACTTTAAAGAAGAAAAACATATTATTTTGCTAAGTTTCTTCTTGTCAATGACCTGGACCAGACAGCTGTCACCATAGTAACTGGTGCTGTACCAGACTCCATATGCTGGTGGATTACATTTTGTACGTACGTAGCAAAGCTGCAGGACACAGTTGGAGGGGCTGGTATATATCTTATAGACCATGTACAGGTAAACATAATGATTATGTTTGCTTTAAAAATGCCTTTGCTTTAAAAATGTTACCTTTTTTCTAGTTCCGTTTACAATTGATGCTTGAATATTGGTACGAATTAATGGTTTGCCAGCTCAAACTAGATATTATGTACTTCAACCGTACCTGTGACTGGACACCGTCTGACACTTGTCTGTGTGTGGGAAGTAGAAGAACTCAAAGTGCTCGTTATCCTTCAGTTTCGTCTCCAGCTCATTCAACACCTCATCCATGACCCGCCCTCTCCTGATCTGAAAGTTCAAAACATCCAAGAATTCAGATACAAGGTATTGTACCAGACAAGGAGCATTTCATTGTAAGATTCAAAATCCCTTAAACATTCTTGGGACACGTTTACAGATACTGGCTTAGTTTTCGTTTATTTCACTATAGACTTATAGACCCAACTGAACTCGGACGAGATACAGAGGTAGGTAACATAAAGTGTACGGAAGAAAAGTCTAGATCTGTTACCTTCTTGATGTGATAGTTTTGCACACAGCGAAGCGTAACTTCTGTGACGACGCCAAATACGCCGAGGTGAACCCGCACCGCATCCAAAAGCTGTGGGTCCTCTTCTGTGACCTGTAGGTCAACATGATACCATACAAACGTAAGCAAAGCTGCGATAGCAACTAGCAGTGGACATCATGATCAGCTGTTGGTGATAGACAATACAAAACAATATACGGCATGGGGGAACACATACGAAGATCAAAACGCGGAAGTATTCCATCTTTCCCGGCGGTAAAAAGGCACACAAAAATTCCGTTCTACTTTCTAGAATACGTTCGATCGAAACATTCTATAGACTATGCTAACGTGCTAGAACACGTTCGATCGAACATTCTATACTAACGTGCTAGAACACGTTCGATCGAACACATTCTATACTACCGTGATAGAACACAAACTGACCTTCAAAATTTCCCCATCAGCCTTGACGATCTCCATGCCGACGACGTAGTTAGAGATGGAGGGGAACCTGCCGCCCGAGCCGTGACTGCCGGTAGCGATGATCCCGGCCACGCTCTGCTCGTTAATGTCCCCGGCGATGGGCAGGCACACGTCGTACTTCTCAGCAAGCTCCTCGAAGAACTCCTTCAGATACTTCCCGGCCTGCACGGTGACGTCGTAGCACTGGTCTCCCTCAGGCGTGGCGCAGTTGTCGACTTTCTTGACGGAGACGATGTCCTTCATGTTGTGTAGGCTGACGAGGTAGCCGCTGGTTGTTAAGATGGAATCATCGCTATGACCTGAACCGATGATGCGGACCTTCTGTCCTTCTCCTGCCGCCTTTCTCACAATGCGGATGACTTCTTCTTGGTTTTTGGGTGCCATCATACACTTCGCTCCGAACTTGACGCCTTTCCAGTTCTCATAGTACCCTCTCTCGTGTGTGTATCCCCTCTCTACGTCTTGTGTGTTTACGGCTAGGAGCTTGTATCCAGGCAGCATCAAACGACCGTCCACGGTGTGTCCGTTATGCTCGCTGTCGTCTGCGGGCACGGGTTCGTACACGAAGTCGATCGCGCGAAGGTGGCGGTAACCGAACTCCACGTAATACTGTATAAACGACCAAAGCGTGGTCATGAAAATGAACGTGTACTTGATCTTGAAAATCGCCACCTCGCCCACCGTTAACGACCCGAACTTATCCTGGTTGATGCTGTAGATCTCAATAGTAGCGGGAATGAAGATGATCTTCTGAAAGTACAGCAGAAACCGGTTGTTGTCGTGGAACCTGGTCGCTTCGGCCAAGATCGTCACAATGTACATGGACCAGGTGAGTATCTCCACGATCCCATGGACAAGAACGTGGGCCAGATGAGTTTGATTCTGGACCCTGTACACCAGACTCAGAACTAACTCGATCACAGCACTCAGCAGCACGATCGCGGCGAACACGATTTTCCAAAAATGGCGCAGGTACGGGGGCTGGGAGTAGGACTTCCTCATGAAGACTTTGATGGAGCGCTTGATGCAGTAGATGAAGACTGGCACGTACACGAGGTTGTACAGGAGAACGTTCACAAAACAGGGCGTCAGGAGGCCGCCGGGCTGAGTCGGACCCCATCCAACCGGACTGCAGAATCCTGGGATACCTGTGACGTCATCGCTGGTGTTCTGGCTGATGTTGGCGGCCATTTTGTTGTCCCTGAAACAGAGCAGAGAGAAAACAAAGGTGACTTTTAGGTACCAATTTCGGTTCAAACTAGTTAACTCTTGCAACGATAAGAACAATCCGTGCTACTTATCTTAATGGTTGACCAATGATGCTTTTCAGGGTTAAAATATTGATCAATGGATGAATGACGACCTTTATTGTACATTTTTGCCACACTGGGCTAAGTACAGGTCAAAACAAAACATGATGAGCATATACAGTAAACATATACAAAATAAAACTGACTATCATTAGATAAATTCAACTTCTCCCTGCATTTCAGTTATAGTAGAGATAAAGGATATGTTTGTGGGTCGAACAGACCGCAATACTCTGTACCACACTCCTTCACGTGCGATGTCATCATCTATCAAAGAGCGACATGACAGCACCAAGCCAAGTGCTATTTAAGGACATTCATTCTGACCGTGGGGAACAGGGAAATTGCTGGTCTTACATAGCTTTAATTCCGATACAACAGAGATGTACATGATAAATTTCCTCATGGCGACATGACTTAGAGTGATGTATGTTACTGCTGCACTGCAAGATTTTGGAGGAGGGGGAGGGAGGATTTCTGCAGTAAGTAAGCTTTATTTGAATATCTTATTACCTTGTTTCAAGTATTGAACAACGTTTTTAATGCATTATCTCGTCCATTGGACATTATGTATTTGTAATCTTAAGTTTGTCTTTCTATATAACATCCATAATATAGGGTCAGTGTCTGACGATCACTAAAACCAAGGAGGTTTCTAAAACAAGCCGGATCCGATTATAGCCTACGACCACTATGCTCACCCTGGCTCGTTACAGTTTCTTTTTTGGATGTCTTGGATTCAATACGCTACGTGGTCCCAATTTAGGCGTAGGGGGCAAAAAGATCAGACTCAGACGCCATTGAATGATAGTAGTGCCTGTGTGAGGGACACAGAGGAAAGTATTGCAAGGTTTTCATGGCTTCCAGTCGCTTGTATTATCTTTTATATAACACGCTGGGCCTTCCATCTTCTATTTGTACTTTATACATCGTAGAGACCTAGATCCTTTCAAGCTACAGTGCTACTAGGTTCAAGGATTATTTTTCTTATACTGCATTGTAATGTATGGTCCAATAAATACAATACAACTTACTATATGGGGACTTACAGCCAGATTCAGATGACACAATAAAAAGTAGTGCTACAGCGTGGCAATCGTGAGGTGTGCATTATGTATTATGCACAGGTCCCACAAGTGTCATTAAACACAAATCCCCTCCACAGCTCCCAAAGCGAATGAACACTGAAGTGTTGCTTACTTATACGTGGCAAGGACCTTTATAAGGTAATTTTCTGCTACTTACCATCAGATAAGTTGTACAACACAATACACTCATTGTTTATCCCACACCATGTCCTATTCAACAGGCTCCACTCCAGGATTTTGAAAATTGCCAACAATTTCATTAAGATTGTAGAAAATGTAGGGACCACAGGCATTGCCATTGTTTGTAGACTAACTACAGAAACTTTCTTTCAAGTTGGCGCTTAGGAATTGCGTGGAACGAAAAAGAAAGAACTGTTACTGTGGAATTAGAAAAAGAGCATTACATTGACTTCTGTGCTGTATAAAAGAAGGTATAATTTCAGATTATATCTTACATGTACATACAAGCACCTGTGCTTTTTTATGATAAATCTTGCAGTAAGCTTAATTGTACAGGCTTTGAACATATAATGGAACAAAAAGTTTCACAGTGCGTCGAAATGCACGATTCCTACTAAAAAGAACAGGTGTTCTTTTGGAAACAAACCATGTTTTAAAAAATTATGCTGTTAGAGGTACCTAGAAATCAATGGATCAGTCCTGAGAGTGACCCTGACCTCAGCTGTATTGACGTCGCAGTTGGACACGTTACAGTTGAGTCAACACCTTTTCAAACTCGCAGGTGTGTCGGGTTTCTTTCATGCTATTCAAGGGACCCCGTCACTTCACACAGACGCCGTTCTACTGATCTCAATCAACTTGTCACAAGTCTAGGTTCCTGATTTATGTTCACTTGAAAGTAACAACTTCTTAAGACAACGCTCAACCCTTGTCACTATTAACACAGTATATTGGATTAAGTTGACAAATTGAGACAAATCCGTACTCTTAAAAACCATGAGCGTAACCAACAAACACTTCAACTTCCAAACTTTGAAGTACCGACAACTATGTACTAGACAACTAAAACTAGAACACATACCTTACCTTACAAATGACACCACAGATACAATCTCAGAACTTGAGTAACATGCACAGGCTGTTTCTTTGCTCTAAGAGTCACTCGCTCACACTGCTCTTAGCACGTTGCCACTTGAGACACTTTTTCCTTCTCTGCCACTACAAAGGCCTTCCGTTCACGCAAATACGACTGCATGTTATGTAAAGCTCGCAAATTGAGTTGTTATGTCTCACCTTTCAACGTACCGCGTCACGAGTGACCTTTGAACTTTCACAATTTTAAGGGGATCGTCTTGAACCATGTTTTTTTTATCGAAATCAAATCAAAATCAAGACAGGAAATGTACAAAAATCAGCCGACTGGTTGTGTGTCTGGTTAAAGTGTTTCGCAAAAAAATCGAATTTTCTTGCTCTTGTATTGACTTGTTGCACAAGGTTTAACAGATATGACAGTACTGCTTTTGTTAAGAGAAAAAACATAGATTACAACCGTAGATATTAACTAATGAGTCAACAAGTGAATGTGTTGGTCATAGTTTTAGATAAAGCATTGTGCAACTTACTAAGTTTCATTTCCCTATGTATGTATGTATGTATGTATGTATGTATGTATGTGTGTGTGTGTGTGTGTGTGTGTGTGTATGTATGTATGTATGTATGTATGTATGTATGTATGTATGTATGTATGTATGTATGTATGTAAGAACACACAATTCAGCCTGTGGGATGCCAGTTGTTCACTTGCAAAAATAACCAACTATACAGAATCACCTGGAATTTATGAGACGACCCCTGGCCATTTCGTTCCCCCAATGGGACGAGCCGTTAAGGCAAAAGGGCGTTCACCCATACAGGCTGTGTCAGCCCCGGGCGTCATTGCGAGCAAACAATGGCAGCAGCATGGCCAAACCACCTCAAATTACCCACCAGGTGAAAACAGCTAGCGCCACTGTCTGACCCAAGGACTTTCTTTCCAAGCAGAGGTTGTGGGGAATGATCGTTAGCTTTTTATATATGGCCTTTTTTTGTACGTACTCCCACCACCCGTCGTGGCTAATGGATACTGCCTGGCCAATTTGATACTGTCTTTTTACCACCGAAAGGGATCTGCTTCGAGATTACCAAGGACTTTCTACTAACGACAAATGACGTAGTTTTTTTCTACCACCAATCCATTGTAATGATACAGAGGAATGTTACTACGTAAACGTCTATGCCCTAAGGCATGTTTCTAACGCTATAGCTATCTATCAAGGAGAATATAAGGTATAACACACATAACATGCAACAACTTGTTAGATTCTGTATCACTCACTCTATTGATCTTCAAATAGATCTTTTAGTGGCTAAGATAGTATCAAATGGGCAAGACAGTATCATTGACATGGCAGTATCCAAAATGGAATACGACGGTTGGCTGTTAAAAAAGATTTCTGTACAAAAAAACGACAAAAGCACATAAAAAACGTGCGCCAATGCCTAAATCTGTGTTCGGAGAGTAACAATCTAGTATCAAGGTTCACGTCTTTATTTCTATGAGAAATGATTTCCACATTATAAAAATTCTATTTGATGCTTCATGCTCTACCAATGCGATGATTTAACAATGTAGCAAAACATCTTGATACATTGTGTTCAAATGTATCAATATTTCGGTGTACTACAGTAAGCCCCATGCCTCTAGATAAATTAAGAAAATAGTTACCTGAAGAACGCTTGAGTTTTGGAGTGCTGGTTTTGAAGCCCCGCTAGCTTGCTCCTAATGCAGGTCCCCTTTGTTACTGTCTCGTTCTGCACGTGAAATATATAATATATACTTTCCCAATTGCGCTGTTACCAGGATACGCCCATCAAATACTTCCGGCATACCGGAAGAGGAGCGGCCCTCAAAGAGAGCTCACGAAACAACATGTGATCTGTGCAGATACAGAATGACTCAATGGACGATGTAAGGAAATCTTCTATTTCTTGTTGTTTATTGTTTGTTTTTCATTCTTAGCTTTTATTTTTCAAACCGTCATCTTTTTTCTAAATTTTTGTTCAGGTATCGATTGATTAGCATTGTCATGATAATGAACTAAATAGCTCCCCTGTGTACTTTGAACAGGGTGGAGAAATACTTTTGGGCATTTCAAGCGTGTTACCTCATGACGTCATTATCAAACGATGCATCCAAATATGGTCAAGTGGATGGAGAATCCATTCGTCACTTCCGGGAGGAGGTTTTCTTTTTCTTTACATCCGAGCGAGTGTGCTGTCATTGAGAATAACTGTCGCAAAGTGCTGTCCCCACTTAACTATTCATACACTTGTCGGCCTTAATATTTACAGCTGTTCAATGAGCACTTAGAAAGGAAGTTGAACGTCATCCATGTGCTATCTAAATATTTCAAAATGATGACATTAAGAATAACTGTCGCAAAGTGCTGTCCCCACTTAGCTATACATGTAGCTATTCATACACTTGTCGGCCCTAATATGTACAGCTATTCAATGAGCGCTTAGGAAGGAAGTTGAACGTCATCCATGTGCTATCTAAATATTTCAAAATGATGACATTAAGAATAACTGTCGCAAAGTGCTGTCCCCACTTAGCTATAGCTATTCATACACTTGTCGGCCTTAATATTTACAGCTGTTCAATGAGCACTTAGGAAGGAAGTTGAATGTCATCCATGTGCTATCTAGTAAATATTTCAGAAAGGTGACCTTGCATGATCTGACAGAATTGATCGAATAACGGTTAGTATAGTGGTTACGCGACATGTAATGAAAGACTTTATATTATGTTAAATGGTGTAGAAATAATTTCTATTGTACAACACTCATTTATTAATGGTCTCTTGTGATTTTCAGTACGATTAATAAATAAAAGACCTTTATTTCTCTTACAAGCTAAGTACAGATTATGGGTATATGAGAGATGCAAAATTACAGTGATATTAGAACGTGATATCTTATTATATCTAACGTTACACAGACTGGTATAAACTACCATGTACAGGTTGAACTTGATGTGCATAAGGAGTTTGTAATAATGGATTGTCTATGTCCATATATAGGAGTACAGCACACACACATACACAAACACACATACAGACAGATACAGACACACACACACACACATTCACTCACTCACTCACTCACTCACTCACATACATAGGCACTGAGAGAGGGGGAAAAGAGAGGTAACATTACACATACAGTACATATTACCATCTGATCATTTTTAAATAACCATGTTTACGAATACCAGCATTACTGCCCAACGTCTACTTGCTAGCCTAAGCATGGTACTTTGATACATAGAAAAGATCTTTGTTCACTACTCCACTGAAACTTAAACCTGTTACTTTATGTTTCTTTACCCCACTTAGACCTTGTGTATGCTATTGGCGTTGAAGAGCTGGTAAATGAAGTGGTATGTAATCGACACAGGTGTGGCTCTAGATCTATTCTAGCTGACCATACCACTATCCCTTCTCTTCTATGACATTTGTCAGAGTTTAAACTGAAAGGTAGCATACAGTGTGTGGGGCTCAGATTCGCAACCTGTTATTCGCCTTAAACAAATTCACTCGAAGGCCACCGTGTCAACTGTAACCCTCACTCAGGTGTAGGAACTGACACGGTCATTATACTCGGAAAATCAGTATCTGTATATCTATACATGAATCTGTATCTGTGCATGAGTCTGTAGCCGATTGCAAATAAAGATCACGAGTGATTGCCATATATAGCATACAGTAAAGCAAGTTTCGTCAGTAAAAGCGAAGAAGATTGAACTGAGACAGATTCAGAGGTGGAAGTGGTTTTATCATGATGTAGCAAACGTGTCCAATACTAACCATTTCACCATACGTTATGCGTGCCAAATCCCCTAATGATAAATCCAATTCTATATCCTTAACGCAATAAAACGTACCCTATTTCTACACGTTTGTATGCAGATCGATATCTTTTACGACGTGTAGTGTTAAAAAAACATGAACTATTCAAAACGCGAACGACCTATACAATGTAACGTTACACACGTAACGTGCCCCTTTGGACCAATAAAGTTTGGTCGATCTTGTTCTGTGTACCAGTATAGGAAGACACGTACAGTTTGCCCCCTACTGTGTATCCAGAACCGTGTCTATCAAGTTCTACGCCTGAATGTGTTAGGTTTAGGATCAGGCACGATTCTGCCGGATAGTCTCCGCGTATCCAAGGACGTAGATTTGCAACAGAATTACAGAAATCTTTATGGATACGTGTGAACTATCCAGAGCCTTGCCTGAACATGGTTCTGAATAAAGCACGGTTCTGGATACAGCAGCCACAATATCTACTGTAAATTCAAGTTTAAAAATCAAAATCGTACCTTTTTTTCAGTGCTCGACAGGTGGTCCACAAACTTTCAGGAAGTCAAGTTCGCCAACAGTTCAAAATCTCTCTGCAAGTTTAAATCTTTGTCCTTGCTGCTAGAAGATCGTTTCTATGAGTATAACAACTGCAGTTGACGCAGCTCCTTTTATAACTGAAAAGAGATAAATCCGTGGGAGGTGGAAGGAACTTTTAGAGAATGATTAAACAGTTTCCGTGTGCGTATGTTATGATCCTGGGAAAGTACCGAACCGCATGGGCTATGGCTGTGACCTATGACCCATAGATACTAAGTACCTACACACGTACCTAGCAACGCGTGGGGTCATCGAAGGTCAACCCTAGACGTCACCGCCGTAGAGAAGGTTTTAGGTCACAAAAATGTATTCAATAACTACTCTTATCATCCTGCTAGTGGGATTCAGTAGAAAAATCAATCAATTGCACGCTTCAACTGTACGGAAGCTTTAATATTTGGCATTCTTGTGGATTACAGAGTCACGTTTTGAGTCACCTGTGAAAGTGGGCGATACTATATCCGCTGGACCTTGAACTATAGCGTCACGGTTTCTATAACAAGGAGTTGACTCGATGGCAGGAATCTAATTTTACACACTGAATCATGTGTGAGGAACGCTTCTCAGAACCTGAAGCGCCGTCTTTTAACAGTGACGTCAACATGGACAGTTGTTGTGTATCTGATTACATGATAATGTTGAACGTTAACGAAATGCGCACAACAGAATGATACTATCAATGGAACTCAATACTTTATTTGTTTGAATCTGCACTCAAGTTTTTAAAGTTCTGTGTATACCATGCTACCATTATCCGTACTGCTCTATGGCATATACCATATTATATAAAAGCCTGTAATTCATGATCCCTGAACTCGAAGATGTTTTATCCAGACCCACTCAACAGGCACTGCTCTGGATATCCCAAGCGTATCCTTAACCGTGTCTGGAGAAAATCTACGTTCTGGCACACGCAGAGACAATCCAGAACTGTGTCTAATCCTAGCCTGTTTAGGAATACAACTAGATAGGTACGGTTCTGGATACATATAGTTATATGATCAGGATACAATAGAAGCCGTTCAGTTAAAGATTGAGCACATGGTGACTTGGACCACCAATACAAAGTAACACAGTACAAGATCAAGCTAAGTTTTGCTCTAAAGTCGGAATACAATCAGTCAAAACATGCATCAGTGCTGTCATACAAACACGCCATAACAAAACGACCCGGAACATGTGTTGTGATGTTAGTGTACATACATGGCAGTGTACATACAGAGTTAAAATTAGTGACTTACGTATCCGCACCTAACCACAAATATACCACAAACACTCAAGGAATTTCCACCTCGATGATTAACTCAGTTAATGAGATGTGTAATATCCTCTCACAACGATCAAAGATACAAGTATTCCTTCCGCATATATGCACGAACTTCGGGCCTGAACCTTCCGTTGTCCTATAGGAATTCTCATATCCTAAGTATCCATCGTATCATTGTTATGATAACTAATGAGTAGATCGCTACATACAATACGTATCTTTAGCTCAATATGTTCGTACATCTTTAATTGCGTCATGATCAAGAAGCGAGAAGAAATTGAACCTGTAAATAGTAGATCACATTAGTACATATAGTATGTAAGTGTCATTGCTGTATTCTTTTTCTCTGTTTATCCACGACCTGTACTCGGTTAGAGCACAAACGTACAATAAAGGTCTTTCATTCATAAAAATCGCGTACATTTGGTTTATCTTCGTTCCGTCAATGTTGTGACACCAAAAAAGTATGCATAAAATCCCTGCTATTTTGTTTATCTTCTAAGATTCAAACCAACACAATGAACATACCTTTGTATTGTAGACAGGAAACGTCTTGCCAGTCACTCAGTGCTACTTTTGCCATTAAAACTCTCTGTTCATGTACAATTCCATCACAAGTTCGGGTGCTCTCTCGGCAAGTGAGTGGAGCATATACCACATAGAAGGAGCACGTCGGCAGAACGTACTGCGCCTGCGCCAAACCCGTATTTTTCACGGTTTTCGTTGGATGTTTGGTCAACTTTGCCCGTTGCAGACACAACATGTCTTTTCCGACATAACATTTACAATCCCATAAATGGGATGTCATCCTTGAGTACGCCTATATAACCTTAAACGAGACGTTCTGCCGAAGTGCTTTATATATGCACAATAAGCACGTCGGCAGAACGTACTGCACCTGCGCAAAACCCGTAATGCATTGTGCATAGCACTTTAGAAGAACGTCTCATATAAGGTTGTATTCGCTCATATAAGGTTAGCATTTCGACAGTAGTTTCCAAATGTTATGTCGGAAAGAATGTCCTCTGCAACAGGCAAAATTCTGATGCAACGTTGACCAAAAACCCAACGAAAAACGCGAAAATACGGGGTTCTGCGCAGGCGCAGTACGTTTTGTCGACGTGCTGGTGCCAAGAACTATATCGTAGAGTGGAACTCGTTGCCATCATCACTAGAAAGCTTTAAAAAAAACGTCTGCAATGGAATGTGCAAAGATTGGGTGTAACAAGTCGTTCGGTGTGATATAGCTAGCTGCCGCCGCGCCGCGTGCCTGCAAAGCTGGTGTGCTAGGCTAAAGGGGGGTTATACCGGCTACACCAATTCAGATACAGATACAGAAGAAACGCCATACCTCTTTTTCTGAAATCCCTAACATTCCTACCGAAGTTACACAAAAGAAAACTACAGTATAGTAAAATATGTTGAACCATCAAATAGACTAGCTTCATTTCAAAGTCATCGTTCCAGAAAATAGAAAACCCAGGTTATATGTCTACTGTCCGGTTTGAAGTCATCAAAGTGAACAGTGCGGGCAAACGTTGTAAAAGTTGTATGATTGGATGATGAATAATGTACAAGTCCACTTGAATCCGATCCAAAAAGCCTAGATATATCGTATTGCAAGAATGGCAACTTGTTATTTCTTCATTATCGGAGGGGAGGGGGGGCAGAGAAGTCTTAGCTAAGGTAGCCTGCATTTGGTCGCTGGAGTTATTGTATAAACCGCATGAAGCGCTGTTGCAATGTCTGTTGCATCAGATGGTATAGCAGTTTCCGACTCTTGGCTGCCTTCCACGCAGAAGCTACTTAAACAAGAACATCTGGGGGATTATGTGCCCTTGTTGACAACTTTTCAACCTCAAGGATTCTTAAGGCTTGGAATTAGCGCTGGGGTGTCAGTTGAGAGAAACAAACAAAAGTGTATAGCTAGCCTCGGGAGTCGGCTGGAAAGAGTAGAAATTGGCCAAATTAAATAGAGAGACCATGCCGGGGGAGTTGGTCCGCTAGGGTAGCCAATTTCTACTCTTTCCGGCCTGATAGAGGCTAGCGTATAGGTTTTAGATTATGCCCTTTAATTTCCTTATATTTCTTTTACTTTGCAAACGGAATTTTGTATAAAGATATCTAACATTGTGTATTCTGTGACACATAGGGTCCTTGCCGCAACTTTCAATGGGCTAGCGTTCCACACTAGGGTCTGCCTATCCCAGGCCTTTCTCATGGCCAAGTAGAGGCAGGATTCTTAACTGTGCAATAGTGAAACTTGTTTTTCACAAATCAGACCTCGACACATCTTTTAAAAACAACCTATTATTTCCTGGTCGAAGTCACGGTGTAATGTTTGTCTGTCGCTATCGTTTCCCGGTAGCCCGGATATTACCGAGAACACCAACACACAGACAGAGCTACACTTCTTCATATGCTGACACGCTGGGGCTGGGGCTGGGGCTGGGGCTGGGGCTGGGGTGGGCTGGGCTGGGCTGGGCTGGGCTGGGCTGGGCTAGGGCTAGGGCTAGGGCTAGGGCTAGGGCTAGGGCTAGGGCTAGGGTTGTTATTAGAGTTAGGGTTATTTTTAGGGTTGATATTAGTGTTAGGGTTAGGCTTAGGGTTAGGATCATTGTTCAGGGCTAGGGTTAGACTTACGATTGGTGTTAGGTTAAGGTTTAGTCTCCCACATCACGACTATACCGTCCTCCCACCCTTTGTCTCAGGTGTATTGGAAACCCCCAAGTGTTGTCGGAGTCACGTATTTGGCATCGATCATAGGCCGTTATTACCTTTGACCTTGTTCTGACGTCATTGGGGCACAGGTGTACCCACCTTCTGAGAAGGCCACCAGGACTGGTGCATGACTTTGTCGCTGTGCAGCTACCAGGCAACGGGAATAGAATGTCATAAACAACTGGATAAAGTTGATAAAGGACACGAAAAGACTGTAACTGTTATATATATTGAGTTTATTGTCTTCGTTCACAATTCAGTAAAATACATGGCAGCTTCATTTGTGTACAAAGATGCTGAATTGCGCATTTTACATGATTAACATGATAACAAATCAATATCTATATTACAAGATCAACATGATAACAAATTAAAAACTAGTAAACAATGACATTAAGATGATAACATTATAAGAAATTGAAAAGGTTCTTAATAAGCTGTAATAATTGTTAGAGAGGCGGTAGACTTTTACTTAATTGAGTTCTTTATTGCAAGTTCATGCCCGAGGGCTAATTGCAAACAGCGACATTGACAAGAACTGGGTCAGAAGTAAGATAAAAAAATTGAAATGGACACTGGGGAATTGGTCTCTTAAGCCTGTTGTGTTGTTTGCAACGATCCAAATGTTTTTCTCTCAGCTAGTAGAGACAAATTATGACCAAATAATATTTGCCTGAACCCTTCTGTGTGATGCAAGATGATTTTAGATAGGTGCATTTTTGCCTGAACAAATAAAAAAATGTAATGTTTTGCAACGATTCTAAATTTTCTCTCTCAGTTAGATGTACAGACAAATTAAGAGAAAATATCATTTGCCTGAACTCTTAGTTGTGACGTAAAATAGGCTTAAATAGGCTTCATTTTTTACTAAAAAAATAAAGTATGTTATTTTTAGATTTCATACGCCACAGCGTCGCAGAAATAACTTTATCTTATTACTGATAACAGATGCAAATTTTAAGGGTCACCGATAATTTGAGGTGTTCTGGGAATACTAATAACTGCATAATAAATGAGCTGTGCAATTTCTCAGTCGGTGGTACGTCACGTGATCGATAGCCTAATGACCCCCAAAACATGTTCGATTACAAGGGACAGTCCACTAATGATTAATTTTGGGGATTAATCACTAACAGTTTAGGGGTGATGTTGATTAACCATTGATGATTGTATCCATGTGTTTCTGCTGTTATTATCCTTTTAACTCTCCGACCGCATTCCTTTTAAAGTCCCATTTCTAATTGTACCCATACAACCGTACACAGTGACACTTAAGGCCCCTTAAGAAAATACCACACCCAGACCCTTAAGCGTCATAATGGACCGTCCCTAGCGTCTGCGGTAAATCTGGAAAGTCTGGTAAGTATAGGTCAGAGGTAACACCTCTTCGTATGCAAATTAGCGTGTAATAGCCTGGAATCCAGACTATTGCCCGAGGGTTGCCACAAGTCAACTGTTCTTTGGGGTTAAACTGTCCCTGGGGAAACCTTACCACAGCCACCTTGGGGAAGACTACTAAATCTACACGGACACAAAGCTTAATTGGCCAGATAGTAGCGACAGACTTTTCCAAGGAAACCTAGGTTGTAGCCCTGGGAAAGGCTGGGTACGAGGCTACTACATACGTGTGTGTAGGTGGGGACTTTACCCAAACGTTCCACCACCGGAAGTCACTGCCAAACCTATCGTACGTGTGCTTGTTTTGTAACATAGAAGGGAGGGAAGGTCTAAGCTAAGCTTCCGGCCACGAGACGTCGTTCCCAGCATTGGAGTGCCACGGGGACTGGGTTGACCATTGATCCATTTATTGTCAGCGATTTTACCGGGAAAGGTCGTTTCAGAGTCGCTTTCGGAGAAGGACAGTCGGTACCACAGCCATGTACATAGAGTCTACACCTGGTACAATCAGGCTCACTAACACTGGCGGCAAGTTCGTCTGAGCTATCGGTGAGTACGTTTTGTTGGCTCGTTCACACTATGATATATATTTCTCAGCACACTTAGTATTTCCAATGGTAAACTTCCTGTAATCTACTGTGAGTCGGTTCCCCTGTGGTATATGATTCAGCGTTCTCTTGTGTTTCTCTCAGCGGATACGGGGTCATTTCTGTGTTGTGATACTAGTAAGAGTCACGGCTGTGCTTTTGGCAGCGCTTTGTTGTATAAAATAAAACAGAGTCTGTGTTTGTTCAAGCCGAGTAGTTCACTGTAGCATTATGCCCCCAAATGTTACCGTAATTTTAAATTTATCTGTAATATACGGTAAGCCAACGATATCTTGATTTTTTTTACATATCATCGTCTTAATACCTGGTGATATTGTACAGGCACATTTCAATGTATGAACTTGTACACGTGTATGTTGTACTGTTGTACGAATGTTTCGCTTGGCTCGGTACCGTTCCATGAATTGGCGCCAAGAAACCGGGCAATGTGCACTTGTAAGCCTCTGGTATGCTCTTAACCTTGTTACACACAACACGCACACGTCAGTCAACCTAGCCTGGGTCCTAATGGTTTGTAATGGAGCCCCTGTGCACGCGGGGCTTCAGAGGGAGTGGGAACTACTCTAGCCAAATGGTAATGATGATAGGATATGCCGGAAAGATATGTGTTTTACGTAGTTACCTGTTCTATTGTAGAGACTTCTGTAAGAACTACAGTTGTAGCCTCTATATAAAACATTATAGTATACTGTCGATCTGAAAAAAAGGTAAAAACTGAATTGACTTGATAATTCTTGTTTTCTGGCTGTGTAGATGCAACTGTTGTCAGTGAATTTGCGACGGTTTCCTGTATCTAAGAATGGCCGAAATGTTGCATAATGAGATTTCCTGTTGCTGTTTAACTCCCTTCAGTTGCATTGTAAGGCAACTCTATTAAAACGTGCTTAAATTGCGAAGCTATTGAAAAACATTCTGACTGCCCCTCCCCCTAGAAACTCTACCCCTGAAATGTGTTGTTATGTACAGGTGTATTCACGGTGCAATAGATCTTTAAGGACTGTACAACTATGCATGATGTCCCAATGGCCCGTTCAAATAGTTAAACCAGCTGTATGTATTCGCTGACCATGCAAATACCAAACATGGCACCATTGCTGCTTCAAATTTGCAACTGAAATGAAGTTGAATGTAATTGGTAATCCTCAATAAATAATGAATAATAACAGATAGAATGAATTATTGTCAAAGAAAATTATTTTCTGAACGTTTCAAAGTAGTAGAAATATATTTGAACACGAAACCACGTTTTATACCTCTCAAAAACTACAATTCAGCCTATATAGTATATCTATCCTCCCAACCGCCAAAGATATGGAAGGGCTGCGAATTAAACGCATATATGCCTTCTCCAACTGCCAAATGATAGATGTTTCACACGATTGAGGGTAAAATAATATGTTTGTGTGATGATGTATGGCATTTTCTTTCTGGGCCAAGGTGACTGGGTCATTTGAACCACTCGCCTGAATAGTGTTATGTTGAATTGGCGTCCTAATGCCCTGTAGTAGGGTGGAATGTCGTGTCGTTGCGTCATGACAAAGACCTAGAGATACCCGATACCCAGAATGGACAACGGGGCTCAGCCGGAATTCTATAGAGTAGGAGACTGCTTTTCAAGTTGTTAAATGCAGCTGAGAAATGTCTGCAATGTTTTGTTTGGTGCCATTTGGTTATTTTGATAGAAATTCTTCCCCCTCCCCCGTGAAACCATCGAATTGACGCTGACAGACTTGAAGATTAAACAGGTGGAATTTAGTGGCTGACCACGAAAGATTAAAACGGTGCCAACTACTGATTTTTGTTTTAGGTCTGTTGTTCGTATTTCTTCCGAAATTCCACAGATCATCCTTTGTCAGTGGGTCCTACGCCCTTGTCTGACCGTTTTGACTTTATACTTTCGATGAAAAGAGATAGAGTTGTTAGGAGTACTTTTATTACTGCCACACAAACAAACAAACATATCTCGTTACTACTTGTCTGTGAGCACTTACATTGTTTGCTGACTTTCCCCTTTGACCTTTCGGAGCTGGTCTGGCGGCCGCCATTTTTTTACAAAAGAATGA